AAAAATTCGCAAAAACACTTCATTACAAAAAAAAGAATCCTCGTCCTAATATACTTCATAAGGGCAAAAAACAACTTACCTTGGAAGAAAATAAATAATACAGTGAAAATTAGGGAGAAAATGGCTAAATAGGCTGGAAACAGCTGATCGCCGCGGTCGTGACGCGCCGCAGCCGCGTCTGCGACCCTTTGACCGCCTAATCAACTGCCCGGATGACGACTGTACACTCTTCCAAAGTTCTGGTTCTCTACAAGTCGTGGAAGGTATAACAGTGCAGATTTTTCTGGGTTGAAGTAAATTCACCAAGGGCGAAAAGTGCCCATCGATTGCTTGAAGAGTCAAATTTCGAATAACCTGGAATCCGATGCTTTCACGTGATGAACGACGGCTAAGATTGCGGCATTTCCACACGTGCCCAACATGAACAACAAGGCGTAGAATGATGCGATAGCCATTAGCGAGCCATTGTCGTGGTTGGACAACGGCAATGCGTACACGACTGAGAACTGTAACACTTGACTTGTAATTGGTTATTGAAAAATGTGTGCGTTTCGTCACGGAAACGGGTAACTTTTGCTTGCTACTAGCCGCTACTCCAATGCTAAGCCTGAACTGCGCCACGTCCTTTTTCTCACTGTTCATAATGGCAATCTCTGTCGGACTCATCCCCTTTTCATTGGTGGGTTCCAATATTCAGCATAGTGAAAAGAAGCGCCGTGTCACTGATAAAGGAGCAATGCGCCAGTTAGTTCCACCCATACAATCATTGTGGAATGTGCCTTGAGGCTCCTTTCATCCAGGCTCTCGGAGAGAGAACTGCTACTGAGAAACCAGTTACCGTGAAACATTTTCAACACTCGTGAAGCATTCAGCTTCGCGCTTCACTCCCGATATGGTTACATCACCCCAAATGTATTAGTGGGCGCAGTTCGGCAATGAAAGGAGAGGGGAGGGAAGAGAGGGACATTTTGTGCTTTCGTTGCTTCACTAGTTCCGTTTACAAGTCTCACTCTGGTGAAACCTGTGAACTCTTGTGAAGCTGGAGCAAGCTCGTCAAGCCATCATGGTAAAACCTGTTAACTCGAGAAGAGGCTGTCTAGATGGGTCGACACGTCGATGGGAAGTATCAAAAGTGCAAAATGCCCCCGTCACCGAACTGCGCCGTATTAGTATTATGGGTTATGGCATAAAAGACATAAAACTGAGAGCCTGAATTAAGGCAACTATGCATACAGGATAGAGTACTTGCCCGGTAAGCTTGTGGTGCATTCTTAAGTTCCACCTGAGGACACGACTTTTGCACATACCCCAGCATTATTGTGCTACGCCCATTTGCCGCTTGCGCAAAACTGATTAGTTAAAGACAGCCCCCGCGATCAAAGTGGCTCGTGGTCGCCTTTGCTGTGCAAGTAGTCTAGCCTCCAAGCTAGAAGACTGTTCACCTTTCGCGACTCTATTGTGAGCGTGGAGGCTGCTATAGCCGCTCAAAGTGCTAGTTCTAACTCCTCCTCAGTCGGACCGCCTTTACTTGCTAGATGTCCTCCGACGGAGGCCACTCACTTGTTCTTAGTTGGGGCGGCGGGCATTGCTAATGCCCCTGGATAATTCTGCTCTCCTTCATTACAGTTTACTCATTGGAGGTATATACATTCAATTCAACCCATTTCGCGAGGTGAAACGCGTAAAAAACACGAGTGACGCAATTTTCGTGATGCAAAACCACGACGCACAAAAGGTGCGCTACCGTAATCACAAATTCAGACACCGTGTTGATAAAATTCCTTTTTCCTTCCCAGAGTTTTTCCTCTGCGTTTTTGTTGTTTTCTTTTTGTATTCTTTCTTTTGCAC